TCTCTCTATACAAGATACAGCCTTTGTTTAAAATCTTAAGCTGAACACCAGTTAAAGGCGTTTTCTGATACCAGCTCACAAAACACGAATGTACTGTACATCAGGTATAGGAGCACATGCCTGTAGTCTCAGCATTCAGGAGACCGAGGCGGGAAGAATGCTGTGAGCTCAAAGCCAATCTGGGTTATAGTGTGAGTTTGTGACAGCCTGCGCTATACTGTGATCCTCTTTTTCTGAAAAGCCAGAAGTGGGATGGGCAGATAGAATGCTCACCTAGCATGCACAGGGTCCTAGGTCTGAATTCCTAGCCCCACCCACCTCACCTAAAAAAAATCTAAAGTAAAAATAATAATAATAACACATGAGAAAAAAAAAACCTTCAAAATTCCTTTTAACTTTTGTGCCTTGAATAACTTACCTATGGAAGAATAGCATACAGCCGTGAAAAAGAATGACAATACTCCCTCGGCTGATTTGCCATCCTTCCTCGGGTGGATCCAGAGCATCTCTGAGCCCTATGGGAATGCCACTGCATGAGGAGGCCACAAAGACAAGGGGAGTCTGCAGACCAGGTGATGTGGCCTTCCTCCCCCAGCCAAGGCATCACCAGAGTCTCTCCAAAGGGGCATTGCTGAATACACCAAGTGCAAAAGGTGGTGAGGAGTCCTCTTATCAAAACGGTTGGGTCCCAACAGATGCATGTGGCTCAAAGCAGAAGGAAGAAAATCGAAAGAGATTCATCAAAATGTGAAAAGGTGCGGTGTCGGGGTACAGGGCAAAGTGGGCGTTTTAACCTTCCTTTCTGTATTTATCTACAGGATTTGAATTTTCAAATCCACACAGGTATTGTCTTTGCGACTTATGGAAAGAATAAAAATATCTTCAAAAATAAAAGCCATGGGTAGTTAAAAAAAACAAAATCTCTTCTAGGCAATTAGAGTCCCAGGATTCCTGTTACAAACACTGGAAACCCCCACCCCTAGCTGAGGAACTGTTGGTAGCTGATGGCTGCTGCAGGAGGGAGCATCCGTTTGCTTCCGGACTGTGGCCCTGCGGGTTGTCTGTGCTCCAGTGGAGGCCTACATACATACAGGCAGCACGAACTGCACTCAGTGAGTTAAAATAAAGGACATGAAGTTGGAAGGGAGATATGGCAGAGATAGATAGCAGGGAGGGGTTAGAAAAGGGAGCAGGTGATGCATACCATGAAACCTCGCTGTGAACATGTATGACGTTCTCCTATCTTTCAACTCGGCTCTCAGGAGGCAGAGGCAGGGAGATAGCGGTGAGTCTGGGGCCAGCCTGTTCTACCTAATGAATTCTAGGCCACCCAGGGCTACACAATGAGACCCATTAATTAATTAATCAATCAATCAATTAATGTAAAAGTCTGCGATTTGAAGCCAAATGAGTCACAGGCAGGCAACTGTGCTATACGAAAGAAACAGATATTTCAGGCAACGGAGGACATAAAAAATGAACAAATAAGACTGAAATTTCAAAGAACACTTAAGGACATAAAGTATGAATGACAAAGTGAAGAATCCAAGCACATGCAATGGCCATTAAAGTAATAATAGTAATTACTCAAGCTCTGACAGTTCTGCCTTGAAATTTTTTAAATAATTTTTATTGTATTTATTTTTTGTGCATGTGTGTGTTGTACATATGTATGAATGTATGTGTGCACACGTGTTGTTGCTGTGTGTGTATGTGTGTGCATGTGGGTATACATTATTCACGTGTCTGTGTACATGTATGTGCATGTGTGTATATGTGTGTATACATGTGTGTGTGTGTGTCTGTGTATGTCAGAAGACAGCTGACAGGAGTCAGCTCTCTCCTTCAGAGGGATCAAATTCAAGTCATCAGGCTTGGCAGCAGGTACATTTACCAAATGAGCAATCTTGTCAGCTGTCTACCCTCAGATCATTAACGTGTTGCAGAAATGGGCGAGGGTTTTAGCCATATTGTGGAGCTCTGAGGTACTTTCAGATTTGCAGTTAGGGCCTCTGCATATTTCCTTAAACCAAAATGCATAATTAGGTTCCTGTCTGAATAAAGAGGGGGGAAAAAACACCCCTTGAACAGGCTTTATAGAGGAAAGTGGACTGAACTTAAATGTCGCCCATAAAGCTGCAAGTTATTTTTATTTTTGCACAAATATCAAATAGATGGGAAGACAGAGCTAGTGGTCACTTGGGAGAAATGGTTATGCTGAGAGTGAGAATTGAGTAGGCTATTAGGAATGCAATTCTGTGGGACAGTTCTCCAAGTCTGAACCAGCTAGGGTTCTGTCTGACACTGGCTTTGTGAAACATTTTCAAATCAAATAGTTATGAAGTGATGGAGGTGGCTAAGATTGCTTCCCCAGACCCGTGGCGCTCAGCTTTGCCTGTTCCTGGCTCTCCGTCCTGAGTCATCTTCAGTGAAAATACATGATCACCTGCAGGCCTTGAAGTCATCTGTGATCCCTGATGACCACAAACAATTCAGCCCATCAGTCAGTTGCTGCAGTGTGGAGGACAAAACAAACACAGAGCGAGTCCGATCACTCTGATGTGTCTTAATCCTTGCAAGGAAACAGAGCCACAGATGGACTGAAAACTCCCGAAGAGAAAGGAAAGGCTAAAGGGAAGAATGCTACTTATGCTAGTTCTAATGAGATATCATTGGAGAATTTTATTACTAGGAGAATTTTATTATTATTTTAATATTATTATTGGAGAATTGTATTATTAGGCTAAGCCTCTTAACATGGAAATTCCCCTAAACGCTACAACCAGGCAACTAATTGAGAGTTAGAAAGTGTCAAAAAAGACTCCACCCCCTTACCACAGGCGTATAGTATCCCATACTAAGTATGATAAGGTGATTTTTTTTTTGGTCAGTGAAAACTCAAATCAGGCAGGGGATTGGCTGCTGATGACATCATATCCATGGGTTAATTCCCGGTGAGCACAGTTTTAATATCATATGCATCAACCTATCATTTGCATAACAAAGTATTATAATAAGTGTAACAGTAAAGGAGAGGTGCAGACAAAACCAGCTATTAACAAAGGTTCTGTGACACAGATAAGGAGGTGGGGGGGGGGGGGACAAAGCGAAGATCTATTCTTTTTCACTAACTAGAACTAGGTCACCAAACAATACACACCTCTGAAAAGGATCACAAAATGAATATTGAAATCCAAGTGACCCAGAACAGTGTAGTAGTAGAAATATCAGAGCCTGCCCCCAATAAAGAATATCCAATATCAAAGACATAGTCATAGGTGCATTTTGCGATGGGGTGAAAAATCACAAAGCCATTCGGTGGGCAAACTGCTGTTCTGGAGAACTTTTCTACAGCTAACAGGGAAAACACACCAATCAAACCATGACTTCAGTCTTCCAACACCTTGTGACAGGTCACAGGGTGGTTAGTACCGAGGGAAGAGAGCAAAGTCTGGAAGAACAGAATAATGAGAGAGGAACGTGGGGGCGGGGGGACCTTGAAACACAGCTATCGACCACACTATTGAAACAAACCAGTGATGAAGAGACATCCACACTTAGAAAGCTCTGTGCTCGAATGAGTGATGCCATCTCGCTGGGTCATTTGGCCAGGACGTGAGTCACCGTCAGTTGGAGAGATTCCGGAAAATGCTCTCGCAGTCTTAACAAGACCGGTGTCTCCAACTCAAAGGACGTGGGCTTGCACCCTGACTTGCGACTCTCAAGTTAGCAGAAACGCTCCTCATCCAGGAGTCGGTTGAACAATTCTTCAAATCAAATCAAATACCTGTTTCTAAGAAATCCTGAGGCAAACCCTAACTAAATTGTTAGCCTGCCTTTCGTAAATTATATTGATTTTTTGTGGCTGTTTGTTTGTTTGTTTGTTTGTTTTTCTAGCCAAGACCTTTGGAGAAGGCTTAGTCACTGATGTGCACAGGTTTGGGAGCTTGAGTCAGCAGACGGGCTATCCCTGTATCAAGGATATTACAGACAACACCAGACTGAGGCTTCGATGGAAATCCCCCTCTCCCGCTGTTGCAGCCGCCAAGCAGGGATTTTGCCTGTCACATCATATTAACTTTGCTTCTCTCGGAGGGAAGGCCATTAAAAAGTTAAAAGCAAAAAAGAGTTCGGGGGATCAGTACGTTTCACCAAAGAGGATCCTTCAATCCCGGGGTGAGTGGACACCTGGCCGTGAACTTGTACGTGTACAATACTGCTGGCTGGTTCATAACTCAGCTAAGCTTCCGCAACAAGGCGTGCGGAGCCCTCAGCATTCGAGAGGAAAGCACACCAGCACTCTAGATGCCTCCCTAGGTGCAGGCTATCAAGCTATTTCCAATTCTCTAAGGACAAGCTTGGGTTAAAGACTCCCTGCGGTCCCGAGAACTGGCCATGCAACTGAAGCAAGAGGGAAGGAAATGTCAGGGCGCTGCTTTGGTGGACAAAGCCAAGATGCCTCCCTAGGACTCCAAGACCCTCCCCTGTTAACCACTTGCGCTCCCAGAACCAGCCTGTCTAGCAAGGGTCCCCAGAACCAGCTTCTTTCTTCTAACTCCTGTTGGCACCCCTGCTCAGAGGCAAAACGACGAGACCTCGAGTCCATCGTGGCCAGACAGAACCCCCAGCTCACGGAGTGTCCGCCCTGCCGCTGCTCACTCCCATTCATCAAGTGGCGCCGGCGCGACCCCAGAGTCTCCGAACCGCAGACATGAACTCCCAAATTGGAAGTGGCTGCTGCCCGCCATCCCAACCCCTACCCTCGCGGCACACACCCCTACTTCTTAGGGTCACTTCCAACTTCAGGGTCCATGCGGTTGAATTAGGTACTTCCCCTTACTCCCCGCTAAAGGCCGGAGTGACCAGGGCTGCTCCGAGCCTAGTTCAACTGACTACTAGCCCCAAAGGCCACCGCTGCCACCGAGACCACGCTTAAGCGTAGGGTTCAAGGCTGCTTCACCCCCTTCTCCCGCCAGCTCTTCCCCAGAGCCCGTTCTTACTGGACTAGAAAGGGCAGCCGAGTCCGATCCGAGAGTCCAGGGCGAAGCTCCGATCGCAGCCCTGGAGCCAAAGGATGCTCAGCTGGCCGCTTGCCCGCCAGAGTCCCTGGAACGGCCCATCCCTGTCTCAGCCGGGTCAAAAGCAGGAAAAGTTCCGGCGCTGCTGCAAAGAGAAGTCGAAACTACCGTGGGAAGCGCCGTGCCTGAAAGGAGAGACACTGCCCCAGCCAGCTCCAGCCGCGCGCAGACAGCCGCGCGCGCCCAGCAGGTGCGCCCCGTCCAGGGTGGCTCCAGGCTAGCTGTGCAGAAGCCAGTTAGAGCAAGCTGACCAGGAGGAGCCGGGCCGGCCGCGGACAGCGCTGATTGGCCAGGCCTCCGGATTGCCAGCGCCCTTGTCAAACCCCGCAGTCCACGTGGGCCTGTCCTCTGCGCCCCGCGCCTCCCCACCCTTCTGCTGTGTGCGCCTCTCCCGAGCGCCTCGCTGTGGCCACTACTCCGCGGGTGCTGGAGGAAAGGTGCTGAATCTTCTGAACACCTGAGAAACACGTTGAGCCGCGCATAAGGTAGGAGGATTGGGGGTTTAGCTCCCAGCTGAAACCGTTTCCTGCACAGAGGTCCCACAACAGAACACAAGCAGGCGTCCTCTATCATGTGCAAAAGCAATCTGGCTGCGCGTGTGATGTCTTTGCGTGAGGGAAGAGAAAACTTGACACAGGTGTCGGTAGCTGAATGGTAAAGATATTGTGTTAATGGGACTGAGGGTCTAACCCAGTGGGTAGGATGATTGCCTAAGCGTGCAAGAGAGCACCACGACATGACACCGGGTGTGGTGTCACAATCTGTGACCCTGGCTCTGAAGAAGTACAAGTAGGAGTTCAAGGTCATCCTTGACTACATGGCGAGTTTGAGGTCAACTCGGGCAACATGATATTGTGTCTCCAAATTATGTTTTTAAAATGCATCCATTTTTCTTTGAAGCCCTTCTACCTCATTCCCTAGCTGTGCCAAACCTCTTTCCCCTTAGAGAAGTAACTAAGAATCAGCAACGTTTAAATGATAATGCCTTTCCAGAGATTCTTTTGTCTGATCTCCATTGTGCAGAGGAGAAAATTGAGGCACAGAAAGGCTAAATAATTTACTGACCGTTGCGGAATTAATTAGTAGGATAGCTTACAATTGACTCTAGTTAGCAAGCGCAGGCATTTTCTGAAACCAGGCTAGAATTTTGGACTTTCGGGCTCCACCCCAGAACCAGAATTGTTATTTAAACCAGATTTCCCGTGTGGTTTTTATTTGCACACAGTTTGATAAATCTCTGCTCCCTGCCACTATGCTGCCCTCTGTCACTGCCTAACAGCCCCCTTGTCCTTCTTAACTTCTCACTGAGCTAAAATGATATGCCCTTTCGCCACAGATGCATCCAAATATATTCACTCTTTTCTCTCCTACTGCTTGAACTCATCCAGACTCCTACCCCTGCTCCCCATGCCTTCCTGCCAAACACACACACACACACACACACACACGCACGCACGCACACATGAACCATATCACATTACTTTCCTGATAGCTAAACAGTGACAATCCTAGGCTCTTTCTTATCAAAATTGGGGCTTTGCAAAGACAGTCATGCTATTAATTTGTCACACCCTAAGAGGGTTTTCAAGCATGAGCAACCCTTGCAAACTTGTATGTTCCTATGATGGTACAGTGAAAAGACGCCACTAAATGTCCAATGATGTGATGTGATTCTTGCAGTAGTTGGAGGCAGAATGCCCCTCTAACTGAGATAGGTTGCCAAATCACTGCCGCAGAAAGGTAAGTAATGGCGGGAGGGAGCTAAATGAGCCCCAATTATTTCTTTGTCCAGCTGCTTATCAAATGTCTACGTGCCAGGCTCTGGGCCCCTATGACACAGCAGGTGTGACTTCTGTCTGTAGTTATGGGGAAAGTTGGGCACTAAACAATTCAACCAATACATAGAAGATGAACATTTAGATCAAAATATGTGTTAAAGGATTATAGAATAAGCATGAGAACTATGGCGGTCGGTCTAATCTAGATTGTCTTCCCCCGGAGAAAGTCGCTGCGACATGGTGACAGCCGAGACCTAAATGACAAAAGGCCAAACAAACAAACACCTAAGCAGAAACTGTCACCAACATCAGTTCAATTGTCCTCTTGTAAGAAAACAGCCCTGCCATTCATTTCGTAGAAGCCTCCTTCCATCCTGCCATGCATTTTGCACCTCCTGAAGTTCTGTAAAATCAATGTCTGTATTATTAAAATGGGTCAGACTATTTTCTATGTAAGGCCAGGTGATGGCAACAGGTATCCTCCCCCACCCCCATTTATACACAGCAGTTGACAAACTCCCCTTGTGCCTGTAGGAACTCGTGTGATTTGAACTTTACGTTTTTCTTCCCTCTGTTGTATGACGTGTAGAACACTATTGCATGTCTTGGTGTAACTGAACCCGTGAAGGGACACTCTGACTCTGCTAGGCCTATTTATAAAAATCTCTCCATCATCCGGGATGAGCACACGGTTCAGTGACTAAAGCACTTGCCCCTCAAGCCTGGTGACCTGAGTTCAGATCCCCAGAATCCACATAAAAGCTGGACGCAGCAATGCATGAATCTATAATTCCAGGGCTTCCTCGGTGAGACAGGAAACAAGAAAAAAGACTCTCTTTCTCAAGCTTGTAGGGCACCATTTGCAATGACAGTTTGTCTCAGGCAAGAAGGAAGGTAAAGATGGACACCAATGTGCACTGAGATACACATACACAAAAATCCCCTTATTAATAAGTAAAGCTTCAATTTAAATTTTTTGGCAATACTCATGTACTTTGAGTATAACTTTTCCTTAGGGGACTAATAATGATAACAAATAATCATATATCTGTGTGTCAGAGTAGGCTAAGTGCTTCATGGGCTACCATGCTCATCCTCTGAAAAAGTAAAATTCTCTCCTTATAGCTTCTATTCCACAGATGAAAAAGTTCAAGCTCCAAAAAAGGTTAAGTAATAAGCCCATGGTTCTGGGCCATCCTGTCACAGCAAAGTCTATGGCAGAATGGCTAAGCAGAAACAAATGAAGCAAGCTTCAAGAATGCAGAGAGCATGTGTCTATTCCGTCGCATTGGTCTTTGAAGTGTTCAAAGTGCCGTTCTTTCACTTCTTCTTATTTACCCCAGCCCTTTAACTTTTAAGCTCACTTTTCTCACCAGATATTTGCTTTGCTTTCCCTTGCTTCAAACTGGGAGCTATAAGGACTTTGATAGATGAAACAACTGGTGTATTCCTTTGTTTGTTTGTTTGTTTGTGTTGGGCTGGTCTGCTATTCAGCATCCTCTGAGGAAATGCGTCTGGCCCCTTAGAGCTGTCTGTTTTGACGCACACCCATATCTCAAACGCTGACAGCTCTTTAAAACAAAGAAGACCCACCCCTTACCCAAGTAGCAAAAAAGGAACATTTTATCCCTCACCAGAGCTGTGCTGGATGCCGTTTAAAGTGACAGCTCTGGCCCTCATTGCACAAATGAATAGGTCCTCCCTCCTGCCTAAGAATGAACTTCTGGAACTGTATCGGGATCTGTTCTCATAGCTTTCCCACAGTTCTGTGATCCAGGAGAAACCCCAGGGAACATGTAGTGAAGAGAAAATATAAGGCTCCTCTGGCTAGGGCTGGCATCCCTCACCTTTCCTGGGAAGTATGGGATCTGCTGCAGTTGCTAATGACTTCCTGCCTTGAATGGCTTGGTCAGGCTTGCTTTAGACTTCTGGAACTCAGACAAGGTGTCTAGCTATTTGCTTTGGAAGGCTCAGGTGGGTTTCACTACCCTTCCCTTTGCTGACCACAAGGGTTTCAATAATTTATGTCTTGGAGAGGAACAGCACTTCAGGGCAAATTAGTGTAAGAGGGATTTATGAACCCACAGCAGAGAGCATTTTTAGAGATAACACTCGTGCTGTTGCACAGAAAGATACAAACTAGATTCTGATCTGGCCCAGCACTCTGTACATCATCAAAGAAATGATGCCCTTTCTTCCCCACCTCTTCTTTCTCAACACCTCCCCCTTGGTTGTCAACCTCTGAGCTACATTGAAGATTGGGATTGTCATTCATTCCTTTTTTCATTGATTCTTTTAATAGCTCATTTAGAATTGCTGCTTATCAAAGGGATGCGAGTATACCCATGTTTATAATAGCATGATTCACAGTGGCTGGAAGGTGAAAAACAGTCAATCTGTTCAACAGACAAATGGTAATCAGAGTGTGGTGTGTTTGTACAATAGAGTATTATTCAGCCTTAATAAGGAGGGGAATTCTGACACACATAACAATGAATGAACCTTAAAGATGAAAAGAGAAGGGAAATAAGCCATTAATAAAAAGATGTGATTTCTCATATATGATGTACCTAGAATAGCAATATTCATAGAAATAAAAATTAAAAAATAATAAAATAAAATGGTGGCTCCCCAGGACTGGGTGAGGAGGAAAACGAGTCATTGCTGCCTAATAGATACAGACTTTCAATGTACATGGGGAAAGATGCCAGGAGATGTGCTATGGTAATGGCTGTCCCAAAATGTAAGTATACTCAGCACCATCCAGTTGTTCACTTAAGTTCATTTACATGGTAAATTTCATGATGTGTGTACTTGACCTCAACTAAGGCTGGCTTTGCACTTACTCTCATCCTCCTTAAACCTCAAGATCGCAGAGCTGAAGTTTCAAGATATGATTCCAGCTGTATCATAAATTACAAGAGTAAACATATTTTGGTCGCAAAAACAGTACCTAATCCTGTTTGTGTGGGCCTGCATTTGAGACGCAGCTGTGAAAGGTATTCATAACCCTTGACCTCAAAGAACGTACAAGAGCACCCACACTGATCCAGACGGAGTCTGTTTTCATCATACTTTCCTCCTCCATGTATTTGTGTTAGCTGCCGTGTGCTGCAAGCAGCTGTGCATATGAGTTACGGAGGTAGACCAAGGCCCCATAGACCAAAGCCGCCAGTCCAGCAGGAGAAAGCAGAAAGTAAGAGATTGCCTAACCCTCTCCATCGACATCCGTAGGTTCTTCATCTTTCCACATCCTAGGCTCTACCCAGTCAGCTTTATCAAGTCTTCCAGTGAGTCCCAGCTACAAAGGAAAAAAAAAAAAAAAAAAAGCATGTTTTGACTCCCTCAGTTGTAATATACCGGTAACATGTCTCAAAATAACATACTAACCCAGTGTTTTCTAAAATGTAA